AATCACACACATACACATGATTAAAAGAAATGTTGTTTACAAAAACGCTACTTTTAAGAGTAGTGACTATAATACTACGTATATTAATAAGTAGTATTCCCTTCGTCCCAAATTGATGATCCTATACTTTTGGGCTCAAATATTAAGAAAAACAGGTAGAAGGACCCATATAACCTTACTTTATTGTACTGTTAGTTTACCCCTTTACTTTTACTGTTCATTAAAAAGGGGAGTATAAATGGTAGTTTACTTTAATTTCTTTACCAAAAAGGGAAAGATGACTATCATTTTGGGACACCTCGAATAGGAAATACAGGACCATCATTTTGGGACGGAGGCAGTAGTATTTTATTCATAATAACTTATGTTCCATGTTTTATACTTAAGTGATTACGAAACTACACTATACTAACTATTAGTCATATTTTTGTCAATAATTTTTTTTCCTTTTTCTTTTCTGAAAAAAGCATTGTTTGTAATTGCGCAATGCAATTGCGCCTCATGGTGCGCCTCACCTAATTCCTGGACTATGGCGTAAAAGGCATTGCATATGGCACTGGGAGTCTAAGAGTGTGATGTACGCAATATTGCACTGAGGCCTACGCAATATTGGATGCGCAATAAGGCGCTCTGAGGCGTACGCAATAGGAGGTCAGGGTGTAAGGGTATTATTTGGTCCCACTCGGCCCACTTTTAAATTTTTATAATTGATCTTATGATCCCTATTTCAAACCAGTAGTTATTGATTGAATTTTTCAGTCAATCAATCTAATTAATTTAAATTTTCATATCTTAGATTTCTGTTTTGATAAATGATTCAGAATGTTTTGGTATTCTATGGTACTTTGAATTTTAAAAATGTTACTTTGTTTGGTCTCTTATGGTTTGTTTTAATATAACATTTGATGACTTTTGATGAATATGTTTATTTTTTATTATGTTTATATAATATATATAAAAGTATGCACTAAACATATACATAAAAGCTTTTTCAAAACAAATTTAATTACACTTATTGGAAAAGCCTATTGTTATACACCATTGATTTAATTTATCCTTTCAATGAACCAAGAGCAGCAACATGAAACTATTTAATTGTATGCTTGAAATTTACAGAGGGCATAGTTCATCTAATAGAAAGAGAGTGCCACAAGAGAGATGTCCGCGCTCAATTCAAAGTAGTGCATTGGGATCGAATTCTACTCTGTTTCCATCAGAGTGCGATCAAAATTCAACTTATATTCTCTCAAATAACTGCATTGCCAATTCATATTTCAGGGATGTGGGATTTGTTTTTTTGTATGCTTGAAAATTTTACATAAAATAAAAAACCCAAATAGTGCTCCTTTTTTAACGAGGCATGTTCTATCTCTCTATGGCATGTGTATGTGTATACATACAAAGTACTATGAATGTATCTTGAGAGGACCAAGGACCATTTTCACATTAACCCTATCTGTATATATGCACACATTTGTTTTTGTGGAGCTGAGCACTAAATTAAACCACTATATGCTGCCATCAAATTTTCTGTCAAAACAGTATATCTCTAGTTAAGTTCTTCTCTCTTGTTCCTATCAAATTCTTAATAATCTTCTATATTAGTTTCTAACATATAAAATCAATGTGCCCTCTCTTATATCTCTGTGAAAGTGTGCCTACGTACCGTTGTTTATCCGTTTATGAAGTATGTTGTGTTCACTTCGAGTCATGTTTCCTCTATAATTTGAATATTATTTTGTTGCTTGACCTAAATTAACTAAAGCAATTTTTTTCTTCTCAGATCAACAACTCACTCACAATATATAGGAGTATAATTTAAATAGTTTTTTGTCTTTGATTTACATCCTTCACTATAATTTTCGATCCATCCATTTTTTAAGATGTGATGTTTATTTGTGAGACTAAACATTTAGAATTAGGACATTTTCTTAGATTGTAAAGTCTACGTACTTGCTAAGCAGATTTATTACGGAGTATATAGGAACGTACCGTGCGTACTACTCCGTACTATATAATATGGAGTAGATCGAAGACAAATAATTTGGTCATATATTTCATATATTTTCTACATTTTTATGTATCAATAAAAGTTTTTTTGTAGTACATTTTTATTTCATATATTTACCCTATCTTAAGGAAAAAGGATGACACCCCATCCCTGAGGGCCCCCAACACCGACCGGACGGCACGATGGGAGGATGTAAATTGGACTATAATCACAATCTGACAGATAGAGAGTGAGGCTCTTTCCCCGGTACTTACAAAGGCCCTATGCATTTTTCAGCATAGTAACCCCTCATCGTAGTTGCCGGGATTCGAACCCGAGACCTAACCCTTGTGACACTCCCTCGCTACCAGTTGAGCTACGCCCACCTACCCTATCTTAAGGAGTGTTTGGGGTTGCTTAAAAAAAGCACTTTTCAGCTTTTGGCTTAAAAAAGTTGAAAAGAGTGTTTTCAAATGACAGCTTCTACTTAAATTAATCACTTAAAAGCTAAAAGCTGGAAGCAGGTAGAAGGGTGCTTTAAACTGCTTCTCACTTTTTCTATTACACAAAAGGTACTTATTTTACCAAACACTACCAACTTTTACTTTTTCAGAAACACTTTTTTCTCAAACACTATCAACTTTTACTATTAATCATTTTTCCCAAAATCATTTTTTTAAAGTTGAAACAATTGCAAACACTCCCGTCTTTCACCAATTTATCATAACACCTGTATCGTGCATTAGATTTGAACACTGAGTGCGTATGTATGAATATTATACGGAGTATATGAATGTACCTCCCAAACTACCTCTCACAGCCAGGGTACGTACTTCTATTGCGCCCTTGCTAACCAAAGCTTCAAGCCCCAATTGTAGTGGACGGATTCATCTCGAAATAATTTAATTGAGACAATGAACTAACCAATAATATGCTAGTAATGTGGAGGGCAAATGACTGTTTCAGTTGAGTGCTCGCATTTGACTAATAATAGCAGGCAGTTACCAAAGTAAGAAAATTAACCGCAAGAAGTGCAGTTGTAGATTTCTTAGGCGGGAACAGTTATGGGACATACCATTCCCTTTATATATACTATCATGTGTGGGTGGGCCCGACCTGGCCCGCAAAGACGGCCCAGACGGGCTTAACCCCATGTCCATACCCATCCGTAAGAGCGGGCCGGATAGTCCACCGGGCCGCCCGGCCCGGAAAAACTTTAAATTTTTCGAAATTATACAATTTTTTTAATACTTTATAAATAAGATTACAACATTTAAAAAATTGCTAATACCCTTTATAATGTTTATAAGCCTTTCACCGCATACACAAAAAATACTTACACAAAAATAATAATGAGAAACTATATCTAAAATTTAAAATTCAAGCACAAAGTATTATCGTCAAGTACAAAAATAGATATTAATTGGTTGGGTTAGTTGTTAAGAGCTAAAAACTTAACTTTAAACACAATAAACTATAAATATGTATAAAGATACATTAGTGAATATAAATATACATGTGTACATGTAAATAAATAAATAAATTAGTATATATATAAAAAAATATAAGTATATATACTAATTGTAGCGGGTTGGGCTTATCGGCCCGAACGGGCCTACACCCTAACCCAAGCCCGTCCATATGTTATTGCGGGCAGGGCAGACCCGGCCCGGTGGGTAAATATATATGCCCAAGCCCGCCCATTTGTGCGGACGGGCCGGGCGGGCCGGGCCGGTTTTGTGCAGGTCTAGAAAAAAGCTTGGTACTCATGTATATACCTCGAGACCGGCCCAGTTTTCTTACTCATGTATATACCTCAGGAAACAACACCTCTACAGTCAAAGTTATCAAACTTATTATAGTTTCTTTTTCAAAGGACTTAGACATACAAAATCCCCTTTGAAAATGAAATCTATATCACACCGCATAAATTAAAGATCTAAAAGAAAGATGTCATTTGTTGTCACGAACCACCCTTCAAAATGGCAAAACTCAATACTATACTCTATACACAAATTCTCAATTCTTAAATTCAAAGCCAACTTCCCACTTGAATATGTGTTTCTTAGAACAAAGGGTAGACTATAAAGAAACAAATCAACTGGGACACACAAATTGCACAAAACATACTACACATACATGATACATCGCAAAAGCTAAGCTCATATGCTGATAAAGTGGAGTGCTTTTCGAGGGAAGATGCTGTTGATCTTTTGATATTAATGTACTTGTGTGATTTTTACTTAAGGGTGCTCTTAATATGAACTCAACCTGATCTCTTATTAGGCTGCAAAGAAACCGAGTTCAAATCTATGTAGGCTTGAGTTAATTATTCAGGCTTATAAAGTCTGATCTAGGGCTGGACTGAACCGGGCCGGTTCGGGCCTCGGGCCTGGGCCCGGCCGGGCCTCGGTTCAGAATATTGAGGCCCGAGCCCGAACCGGGGGTGGCCGGTTCCGGGCCAGACCGGGCCGGGCCACCCGCCCTATTTTTTTTTTTTGGCTTCTTTATTTAATCCCCTACCCCTCTTTCTCAACCCCAAACCACCTCAAATGGACCAAAATTCCTAATCTAACCCAAAACATAAAAAAAAATTCAAAAAAAAAATAAAAAAAAAATTATTTCCGGCCCGGACCGGGCCCGAACCGGCGGGGCCGGTTCACCATATGGAAGGCCCGGGCCCGGAACCGGGAACCACCGGGCCGGTTCGACCCGAACCGCCGGTGGACCGGGCCACCGGGCCGGGCCGGTTGCTACAGTGGCCGGGCCGGGCCGGTTCCAGGTCGGGCCGCCCGGCCCGAGTCCAGGCCTAGTCTCATCAAGAAAAATTGTCAAGTTCGATTTTCCTTTTTATTTGGAAGAAACATTAACAAGAAATTATTTTTGATAACATTTTATTCTTCTTCACTGTCACTTTCCTCATTTGAGAGATAGCTTTAATATTACTAAAATGTCAATCATATATGTATTTTATGTGAGATTTATACTTATCTTCTGGAGTATTTTGATCTTTTCCAACTAATAAGACGGCCTCAAGGACCTGTAGAATTGCGAAATGAAATCCTCGGCGGCTCTATCAACTTGCCCGCCGCTCTCGTCCCCATCCTTCACCGGAAACGGCGAGTCGGTGATCCTCAGCTGCCGCACCACCGGAGTCCTGCCGAACCCGGGAAGAGCCGGCGACGGAGTCTCCGTGTGAAGGATTTCAAGAGCCTTAACGACGGCGTTGGCCGCAACAATATCTTCGAAAGTGGCGGCGGCGTGGCGGTTCTTGCTCTTCTTGCCGAGTGGGAATGGGAGGTGGAAGCCACCGCCGCCGCCGTGGTACGCGGGGCTATTGCTGCAGCTGAACTCGTAGTACTCCTCGGGAAGCTGGGCGGCGGCGGAGGAGGAGAGATTGAGGTGGTGACGGGAGTGGTGGATGAGCATGAGGCTGTGGATGGCGGCTTTTCCGGCGAGCTTTCCGCGCTGCATTAAGAGGCTGAGATCAAGCATGAGCTTGGTCTTGGACAGGGCCATGCCCTTCTTTAGCATCAGCAGAGCTGTCATCACGAATCTCCAAAACTTTTTCGATATCACCGGAAAATTGCTTGGTTCCATATATATAATCCGGCGGTCCGGCCGGCCGGCGTGTATTTTCTAGTAATTGAATTTGTGAGATGTAGTTATAAAAGCACCATTAACTGGAAAAAAATACCGGCGTGTATATAACTGAACATGTATATAACCGGCGTGTATATAACTGTGCAGACATTTGAATTAACAGTAATTGAATTAACTGTGCAGACATTTTTTTCAATTACTGAAAAAAATACCAGTAATTGAATTAACAGTTATATAACCGGCGTGTATATAACTGTGCAGTTAAATGCACAATCATCTTCAAGAATTAATTTGAATGTGTTCCCGATTGAAGTTTTAGCAGACATTTGGTATGAGTAAACTAGACTTGATGAATAAGATGCTTAAAAATTTTCATCAAAAAGTTCCACCAGAAACCGACCCAGATTCTCCTATATAAGGACCCGTGGCAGAGCCAGGATTGACAGGTTACTGGTGCCGGACAGATTCTCCTATATAAGGACCCGTGGCGGAGCCAGGATTGACAGGTTACAGGGGTCGGGACATAAGAATTTATATAACAGAGGCCAAAACTTAAATTTTCACTATATTTTTCACTACTTATAAATATTTATACATACATATATATATATATATATATATATATATACATCACAATTTTTTCCTTGCAGGGGTGGCCACCGCCAGCCTCCCCCTGTCTCCACCCCTGATAAGGACTTATTTGACATTTTTATGAAAGTTCGAGGACCTATTTGACAGTTTCCCCATATTTGAATACATTCAGAAAGTAATTAGGTACATAAACTAACGAAGTATAGTAGTATACCCATTTAATCTTGCAGAAATTTTAAAGAGCACGTCGCGTGCTCCTTATTGAGCACGTAGTAAGGCTGACGCCTCACCAGGAAAATACTCTGTATTAGTAGGCTTAATATTTGTAAGTTAAATATACGGAGTATTAGTAATCATTAGTTGGCAAGCTATAAGCCAATTAGAACTTAAGAGTTTTGAATTTCAATCTTAGAACAAATAATATGAACTTAGACAAGATTTTTCTAAATCCATGTATGCATCTCAATATAATTTTTTTTATCAGTGTTTTCTTTCTGAAATTAATTAATCTGATTAATTCCTAATCTTATACTTCCCTATTTCATAAGACTTGGTTATGATGGCAAATGATTTGTTTAGTACCAAAATATTTAAAGTCTGAAAATTATATGGAGCTATTCTTTGTTTTTTTGGCAAATGGAATTTTTTTAAAACAACTTTTATAAAAGTATAAACATGTTAATTTCCCACAAATATAATAGAGGGTGAAGTTTTCTATCTGGTGAGGTTGCTGACCAAACAAAATCAGACCTAAACAAATTAAACGAGGTCAGATCGGAAATTTCCAATCATAAGAATATGAAAATTTTGAGGATGTTTATAACTGGGTTGAAAATTTTCAGATCTGATCTAGTCGATCTGATTTGTTTAAGTCTAAAATTTTGTAGTCTGATATGACCTAAACTAGGCGGTATGTTTTTGTTCTATATGTATTTTACAACCATCAAAATATGATCCGATCTGATCTGATCTATTTAAATTTGATCTAATCTCATTTACGACTAGAACCAATCCAATTAAAAAAAAATACCCTTACTCTACTAGGGCCTACCATTTTTAGCATAAAATTGGGACTGAAAGCAATTATTAGACTAAAATGTAGTTTTTTTTATCGTCAAAAGGGGCTTAGATTAAAATCACAGCATTCAGAAAGTGGCTAAAATAACAAAAGCACCACAGGCAACCATCCGCCCTTGGGCCAGACTCTGAGTTAATCACCTTTAACAAAGCAATATAACTCGCTGATCCGAAATTGGGCATAATTGAGCCAATAATGGTTACTGCAGAACTCTCATCCCCCATTTCTAATGCAAGAGTCTTACAATAATAAAAATAATCACCAGAAAAGTAATCAGTCTGATCATGGAAAATAAATTGCAATAAAAAAGTAAAATTAAATAGATGCTTCCAAACCCTAGCCTTTTCTGCACTCCATGGCGGCGGTTCAAGGACGGATCATCACATCTTCACCACCACCGCCCCTAACTTTCTCCGAACCCGATCCCGGCCAAGCCCTGCTTTGTAGCAGAAACGTCGAGGCCCCTGCCAATCCCGATCACGATGCTCATAGCTTCTTCACTAGCACCACGCGCTCCTTCTTGGAACTCCAGACTCTAATCAAACAGAGCCAAGCAAAATCGAAGCAAAGCTCTGCTTCCCTGCCTTCACCGAACCCCTGCCCGAAAAAAACCACCGAGGCAAAGCCCTCCCCTTCACCTGCCGATATCCGTAGAACACACTGACGCGGAACCCTTCCCTCTCGATCGAGGTAGACGGCGGCGCAGCGACAAACTAACCCTAGAGCTCCTAGGGAGACGTCCGCAGAGAAACAACTTTGTACGTTGACTAAAATGTAGTTGTTAATTGAAATTTAAGCAATCACAAGAACAATTAATATAATGTTACAACATACCAAAAAAGTCTAGAAAAAGATTTCTCGTCCTGATATATGATTAAAATTTCATTCATATACAATTAGGGGCAGAGCCAGGGCACTAGGTCGGACTGAGCCAGTACAAAAATATTTGTGAAATTTCCACATATTTTTTACACTAAAAATACAGACATTTTTAAAATTTGGGCTGGGCCTGGGCTGGCCCTCCCCTAGCTACGCCCATGTATACAAAAACATGTAATTAGACAAAATACCATTCCTATACAAATATCATATTCAAATCTTCGTAACAATGTGTACTCCCTCAATTATATAAAATTTGGTCAATTTCATTTATCCTGATCAATGATAATAAATTTTGATCAATGATTTTTAATTAGTTTATTTGAAAGCATTTTTTAATTAGTTATTATCATTGTTCCAATAATTGATCTAGGTGCCCGACTAGTCCCGTCTAGATGCCAGACCGCTAGGTGGTGCTGAGCGTCACAATTTTAGTTTAGCCGTCACGAATAATTGATTTGACGCCTAACTAAATTATCAATCTAGCAGGGGCGCTTAGTTGCCCGCCAAAAGTGTCTAATTGATCGTTTTAACCACACATATGAGAAAAGTTATTTGTATATTAAGATAAAAATTATAAGCGGGATATGTTTTATATCTGTGGGAAATTAACACTTATATTTTTATAAAAGTTTTTTTAAAAGAAAATAATTTCTCTATTTTAATTTAAAAGCCTCTCTTTTTTGTTCAAAAAAAAAAAAGAAAATAATTCCATTTGCCAAAAAAAAAAAGAATAGCTTCATATAATGTTCATACGTTAAATATTTTGGAACTAAAAAATTCATTTGTCAACATGACCAAGTTTTATGAAATAGGGGAGTATAAGATTAGGAATTATTCAGATTAGTTATTTAATTTCAGAAAGAAAACACTGATAAAAAAATCATATTGAGATGCATACATGGATTTAGAAAAATCTTGTCCAAGTTCATATTATTTGTTCTAAGATAGAAATTTGAAAACTCTTTAGTTCTAAGTGGCGTATAGCTTGCCTACTAATGATTACTAATACTACGTATACTTTAACTTACAAATATTAACCCTTCTAATGCGGAGTATTTTCCTGGCGAGGCGTCAGCCGTACTACGTGCTCAATAAGGAGCACGTGCTCTTTAAAATTTCTGTTTAATCTTGTACACTTACTATTTCACCTGTATGCTTCCTATTGCACCAACCAGGGTGTTTGTGTGTGTTGTACCACTTGTGTGTGTAATATAGAAATATGACATACTCCGTATATATGTTCCATTTAGTGTATACGGGTCAATTTTATTACTGTAATCCACACGAAAAAAACATTGAAAGACCACGTAAATCATGTAACAATTGCAGAATGTACATGGAAGCAGATTAAGAAAAAAGTCGTTTATCATGCTTTTTAGGGGAAATTTCTAAAGCATGAGTAATAACATTTTGCAAATAAAAACATTGTGAAATCTAATACTAAACTTTTATTCCCTTAATATGAATAACTAATGCCAAATTTGGAAAATTCAGTCATGTTTACAGTTTGGTAATGTCAAAAACATCTGTATGAGCCTCACAGTTCTTGTAAGTCTTTACTATTTCTCTCTCTAGCGCCACCGTATAGGTCTGGCCTGGGGTTTTTGTAAGGTGGCGGGTTTCGACCGTGGCACCGAGATCTCTTTTGTCCGGTGGCGGGTTTCGACCGCGGCATCGAGATATCTTTTGTTTGGATTTCTGTGTTGGATTGTTGGACGCTTTGGATTCGGACACCCTAGTTTTCTCCGCTTCAGCAGCAAAGATGTCTCGACGGATTCAGCTTCTTCATCAACGAGTCTCAATAGACGGGAATCACTCGACAGCTTTTCCGACGAGTTGGATTCCCGAACATGCAGCAAGCAAGAGGAGGTAGTGGCAATCTTGCTACGAATCAGGGGTTGAGAGATCTGGCTCCGGCTCTCGGCACAGGTGATGAACATATGGGGAGCGACGAAGGGCTGAGCAAGGGAGATTACAGACTGGCGGTCCGTCCCCCTCTTGAACCGCCTCCTTGGATTGATCGAGATGTCGAGGACTGGAGTATTTGTTATTTTCTGAACCGCCTCCTGAACCGCAAGTCAGAGGGTTGGTTCGAGTGTTCTGCCTGCGACAAGAGTTTTTTTTATTGTGCTTTGTTTGCTACTTCAATAATTGTTGCTTTTATTTTGATGTTTGTTTCTTTGTTTACGTTCCAGTTTGTATGACGTTGATTTTGGATATGGGAGATGAGAGGAATATGGTGACCGTTTTTGGCTTTGTGTTTCCCAATAATGGATCAGTGAATTTTATTGCTGCGGCGATTAATTCCGAGTCTGGTTCGAGGGATAACGGTTGTCAGATTTCTTTCTGTCTTTTGATCCATACTCTGAAAAATTATTGGTTATTAATATAAGCCGAATTCTTCCAAAAAAAAGTTTGGTAATGTCAAAATATGACAGTAATTACTCTTATTTAGAGAGTTAAAAATTTAAAAGTCCTGTTTTGGTATTTAAAAGTTCTACTTTGAGTCCGTTGGATATCACCTATTTTCGCGCA